AGCTCGAGTCTAGCCAACGCCAGCAAGAGTGTTCCGATGCTCCTCACGCCTTCGCCGGGCTCCAAGATGGGCTCCAGGAGGCAGTCCACGTGCTCCATCAGCTCCATCGGCGGCCTGGACTCCCGAAGGTCATCGACAGCCTCCATCGGCAACCCGCTCGGGGGCTCCTATAAGTCCCATCGGCGCCCATCGGCTCTCATCTCGAACTCCTCGAGTGGTAACCTTCTGCAGCAGTTGTCCGCCGGCGTGGTGAGTACAGTGAGTATAGCCACCATACACAACTTCGTCACTTGTGCCATTCGTCAGTGAGTATACATTCCCTGTCACTCCACCTCGCCCTCGTCAGTAGTGTCTAACCGTTGGCCGCGAGCGAGTGCACCCCCGGACGCACCTCAGTGGATTAGACGGGTGTCGGCCGAGAGCGCACACTCCCCCCCCCTCCCCCCCACCTCTATCCCTCGTTTGTGGAATGTTCAGGTGATAGTCACTTGTGTCGCCCTCCGTCTGCCATTCGTCCGTAGCCATCCTGCCCCAAGTGTGTTGCTGTTGATCCTTGTTATGTCCGCGTACGATCTCTGCCAGACACACAATGTAAACTTACGTGTAGCCTGTGGTTGAATGCTCATACCAATAAGGATGTAGAAATAACAACATAGTAGCTAACATTTTAGCTCTATGCATTTACTGCACACGAATAGTTTTACTAATATTATGTAAGACATGATAAAATAAATGTTTCAAAGATTTAGTGCGAATCACTACCAAATACTGCCCTGTTAGTCAGCCTTTCTAGTTAAGCTTTGACGAGTTATACACTGGGACTTTTCTGACGCAGGATACCATGACAATATCGTATCTCTTTCCTTTATGTGCCGATACAGTCCGCGGAATGGCATTGTTACCTCCCCAGATCGACCGTAGTTCCCTGTTGGTATTGTTTTATATGCGCCAGGTTTTGTCACTGTTTTCAAAGTGTGTGTTAGAATGTGTTAGTTACCCCCCACCCTACATGGGCGTGTGTTGAGGCCCTTTACCCTGGGATGTTATTTAGTTTGAAACATGCACAGGAATATCACTATCAGCTATCCCTGCTCGTCACATTTCCCATCTTATATCGGAGTTAGATCTGTCTGGCAGTTATTTTGCAGGATTTCACTGTCGAATCCATGGGTTTTGATTGACATGTTTTAAAAATGACATGAACTGGTAGAAGATAGTTTGTGATGATGTGAATTCTTATCTCCAAAGACATGCTGCAATATACAGCAAGTTCTGCATTTATGACGAATATATCTCTTCTGTTTTCTCCGAGTTGCAAGGGTTAAAGTTTATTGAAAGAACAAAATTCCTCTTCTGCAATGACAGTTCTTTTACAAGTCCCATTCTCTCCGCTGTAACCTCACAGATTTATCGGAACACTGCATCGATTTCCCTTTCTTAGAATTGCTTTGTGGTTTACAACGAGTGAATACAGCTTTTAGAAACTGCTGCGGCGATGAAAGACAGGGAAGGCCATATTCCAGACATAAAGGTATTGCGAGAAAGTAACAACCAGTACAAGCAGATATATTCGTTAAAAGAAGTTAGAGAAATTGCTTGAACGCGTGGGACTCTGAGAGTCTCATCAAGTACAAATACACCCAAATATGGATAATTATTGTCATGTTCCTAAGATATGAAAATGAGTTATTTCATAAATTTGCAAGAAAATAGTCCATGAATGCTTTACATGTCGGTACAAGTTTTGCTCCCCTTTATGTATTCGCGTTGTATGTCATGCTTTGTTTAAATTCACTCTGGATTAAAATAATGGAGAAAAGCAAAGTACTTAAAAATGATAATGACGATGGCAGCAAAATTAATGGTAAGAGTAGTACTGCTGGTTATAGGGAAGTAATTATCAGTAACATAAACTATAACTATAATGATGATAAAGATGATGATGATGATAATAATAGAAGACATAGTACTGATAATGGTAATTTTGATATTAACAAAATTAATAATGATGGACATATGACAATAATGGTAATTACAAAAACAATGATAATGATTACAACAACAATATTGATAATATTAATGATAATTATAATAATAATTCTCATAGTAATGATAATAATAATAATTGTAATAATGGTATCAATAATAATGATAATAATAATAATATTAGTAATAGTAACAATAACAGTAGCAATAATGACATTACTACTACTACTACAACCACTACTGATGACAATGGTAATAATAATTAGAATATTGATGAGTGTAGTGATTATGATAATAATAGTAATAATGATGACAATAATAATTGTATTAACAGCAATAATGATGATCATGACCATATATAATAATGAAAAAGGTAATATGGTGATAATAATGGTAATGATGATAATAACGATGGTAATAATAGTAATAATGATAATGATACTAGTAATAAAAATTATAACAATAATAATGATGATAATGGTGATGATACTGATACTCAATAACAATAATAATG